AGGATAAATTTCTATAAGTGAGCTTTTCTAGGTTTAGTTTAAGTTTGCTAATAGCTTCTTGCCATAAGCCTTTTTTTGGTGTACCATCTGCGGTGATACTATATCCTAAAACTGTAACATGGTTTTGGTTTCCTAGTTTTTTAAATTGAGTTTCTTTTGAAAGAATTTTTTCTTTTGTCGTGTTTGTAAGTGGCATTAAATTAGTTTTGAACTTTTTAATTTTTGCATTAGAGGCTTTTTCGTAGTTATCGAATAGGCCTAGTATTATTGTCCAATCAGAAAAAGAGCTAATGCCTATTGTTAGATCATCTGCATAGGCAGTACACTTAAAAGATTAGTTGTTAAGCTTGATCCCTGTTATGTTTTTGTCTATCATGTTTAGCAGTGGTTAAAATGCTAATACATATAGAAGAGGTAAGAGCAGGTTTCCTTGTCTGACTCCTGAGTCTAAGATATAGGCTTCTTGTCAGGAAAATAGATTTTTTATTAGGTCTTTAAATTCTTTGTTGAAGCCTATATTTTTTAGTACCAGTTGAAGGAACTTATGACTTATTCTGTCAAATGCTTTTTGCTGGTCTACAAATAGCATCTAGTGCTTTTTTGTATCATCTTTTTAGTTTCTTAATATTGTAAGGATATCTAATGCAGAGTCTGTAATTAATCTGTTTGTAATGAAGCCCTGCTGATGTTGAGATACGATTACTTCGCAAATTGTATTTAGTCTATTGGCAATAATTTTCATGAAAATTTTTGCATCGCAGTTGACCAGTGAGATAGGTTTCCAGTTGTTTATATTGTGTAGTTCTTTTGATTTCTTTGGTATTAGTGTGACTAGATTTTTGCATTATGAGGAGGGCATTATTCCTGAAATTAATACTTGGTTGAAGATTTGTTCTAAAATAGGTGTAATGTGTTCTTTTGTGAGTTTATAGAATTTGTATATAAGGCCATCCAGTCCTGAGGACTTGTTATTCAGTAGTTTTTGGATAGTTGATAAGATTTCTTTTTTGGAGATAGGGTCTGTTAGTTTTTTGTTCATTTGTATAGAGACCTGTGAAAGGTCTTTAGTAATTTGTTTTGCTATTTTATTGTTGATTTCTTCTTTGCTATATATCGTAGAGTATTGTTTTTTGATATAATTAAGCACTTCTTTTTCATTAGATTGTTTTTGAGCTGAAGGGATTTGTATTTTTGTCAGAGCTAAGCATGGGCTTCGACTTTTAAAGCGTGAGTAGAAGTATTTAGTTGATTTTTCTCCTAGTTCTATCCAATTTGTTTTTGATCGACACTGCCATCTTTGTGCCAGATCAGTTAATTCTGATTGGACTTGTAAATTAAGATCTTTTAGTGTAACAAAAGATGCATCTGTCTGAGAGATTTGGCTATAACTTCTTTTAAATGATTAATTTTCTTGTTGAGTCTTTCTATTTTGTCTTCTGGGGCTTTTGGTTTTTTGAAGGCCTTTATAATCGATTTGATGTAGATTTTATGCATGTCCCAGCTTGTTGCAGAATTAGCATCTTTAATTTCATCCAAGATTTCTTTTTTCAGAATATCATTTTTAAAAGAATTTGGGTCGAATCTCCAAAGTGTTGATTGCCTAGGTTTTTGTTCTAGGCTTAGAGTGCATTCAACAAGAAGATGATCAGAGTTTCCAAATCTTGTTTTAGTTTCTGATTTGAAGTAACTGTAGTTTTCATCTATAAAGATATAGTCTAGCCGAGTGGCTATTATTTGGTTGTTAAACATATTTTGATGGAATGTGTAAAAGGAGTTTTGTTTGAAAAATGAGGCTGAGTCAATGAATTCTTTTGTGATTTCATTAAGTAGTGTCCTTGAAGGGTCATTTTGTGGGGATGCTTGACTCATTCTGTTAATATCTGGGTTCAAGTTTGTGTTTAGATCTCCTGCGATGATATTGATCATATTTTCCTTCTTGTCTATATTCCAATTGTTGAAGAATTCAGTTCTGTTTAAAATGCTTGGTGGTGCATAAACATTTATCACATGAAAGGAGAATTTCTTGAATGTGAAACATGTTGAGATTATTCTTTCTTCTTGTAGTTTCTTGGTATCGTTAAATTTTATATTTTTGTTTCCTGCTAAGATTGCTATTCTGCCTGTCCAAATTGAGTCAAAAGGCCATTGGTCTTTTAAAAATTGTTGAATGGCAGCATTAAAGGTGTTTGTTTCTTGTAAAAGTATAATGTCTAGTCTATAAGATTTTAAAAGTGGCAATGTTCTAGTTCATTTGTCTAAGTTGTTTAAGCCTTTAATATTTAACATAGCGATTTTGATTGAGTGATAGCTCATTAAAAAAGATTATTTAGTTTTAGAGCTTCCACAGGCTCTTTGTTTTGAATCATCCTGGTAATTTTCTTTGTTGGTTACTTTGTAGGGTTTTGAGTCCTTAGGTTTTCTTTTTTTATGCACAACTAATGTAAAAGTAGAGTCATCTACTTTTTTTTGCTCATTTAGTTGTGTATTTTTTAGGTTTGTATTGTTAATTACTGGTTCTTGTGTTGTGTTAAGGTTATTTTCAATAGGAATTTCTGTGCAAACAGTATTTGTTTTGTCATCCATATCATGATCTGTTATAATTTCTTCTGTTTCTTGTTCTTGTAAAGAAGTTTCGTTTATGTTCATGTTTTGAGTTTCTTCTTGTGTTGAGAGGGTTTCTACCTCTTCTATATATGGATTATTCTCTGTTAAGTTTTTGATAGATGTTCTGTTTTGTGCACTTTTTCTTTTAAATTCTTAATAGTGTAGTCTTAGGTTTTTTGCTTCTTAGAATTGTGCACAGTATTTTTTGATGTATCCTGTTTGGTCACAGAAAAAACAGACTTTTGGTGCCTCCTTCCACTCAGTAGTTACTCTGTTATCATCTATATATGTGAATCTAGAGATTCTTTTTTCTAAATTTGCATTTTCAGTGTTATCAAAAATGACAATCCATTGGTCTGTCATATAAGGAGTGCCTTTAATAAGTAGAGATTTAATTGAGACAATTTTTCCAAAATTCTCAAAGGCTTCTTTCACCAAGCTAGAGATGTGTTCTTTAGTTCCTAGTAGTATATTTCTTACTTTAATTGATAGAAAAGATTTACATGCATCTGTTGAGATGTAGCCGTAATATGTTTTGTTGAAAATTTTAATGCCATTAGTGGCATAGTATATTAGTCAGTCTTGGTTTAGAAAAACAATTTCTAAATGAGATCTTAAGCCTTTTTTAAAGTGTTGTTTGGCTGCAACAATATCTCCTTTCAGACTTTCGTATAAAGAGGTTATAATTTCGTTGAGAGAGTTGTAAAGATCTGGAATTTCAATGATTAGGGCATTGTTATTTTTTGACTTAATTTGATTTCTAGAAGAAAAAGTCACAAAGGTTGATTTTCCCCTTTTTAATTTTGCTGACATGTTTGTGCTCTGTTTGGAAGCTGAAGCATAGCTTAAGATGGGTCTGTGTCTGTACTGTTTCTCTGTAGTACAGCTTGCCTTCTCTTTATTGGTTGTCACATGACTAATTTTGTCATTGTTTACATTTTTCTCATTTGTTTTGCTCCTATGATTAGATGTGTTTTCCAAAGCTTGGAAGTTGTTGTTTCTTTGAATAATATTTTCTAGCCAGTCTATCTTGTTTTAAACTACTACTACTAGTACTAGTTCTTTACTTGCTGCTTCTGTTTCCTCTTGTGTTGCAAGAACATCCTCAGAAGAAATGCTATCAGGCTTTTCTGCCCAGAGTTACTGTCTTCTTCTCTTTCAATATCAAGTTTTAGCATTTTATAAATTTTTTCTGTCAATAAAGGTTCAACTCTTAGAGGGAGTTTTCTTTTCTTTGGTA